CTAAATTGGGATATGCTTAACACCCTGGCCATCCTACAATCCAAACTAGATGCCCTCAATCTCACACAAATTATCAACGAACCTACCAGGTACAACCCTAAATCCGTAAACATGGGTACCCTCATAGATATCATCCTGACTAACTTACCCTCTAAATACACCTCCGCTGTCTTCAACCAGGATCTCAGCGATCACTGCCTTATTGCCTGCGTCCGTAACGGGTCCGTGGTCAAACGACCACCCCTCATCACTGTCAAACGCTCCCTAAAACACTTTAGCGAGAAGGCCTTCCTAATTGACCTGGCCCAGGTATCCTGGATGGATATAGATCTCATTCCGTCAGTAGAGGATGCCTGGTTGTTCCTTAAAAGTAATTTCCTCTCAATCTTAAATAAACATGCCCCATTCAAAAAATACAGAACTAAGAACAGATATAGCCCCTGGTTCTCCTCAGACTTGACTGCCCTTGACCAACACAAAAACATCCTGTGGCGTACTGCATTAGCATCAAATAGCCCCCGCGACATGCAACTTTTCAGGGAAGTTAGGAACCAATATACACAAGCAGTCAGGAGAGCAAAGGCTAACTTTTTCAAACAGAAATTTGCATCCTGTAGCACTAACTCCAAAAAGTTTTGGGACACTGTAAAGTCCATGGAGAATAAGAGCAATTCCTCCCAGCTGCCCACTGCACTGAGGCTAGGAAACATTATCACCACCGATAAATCTACAATAATCGAGAATTTCAACAAGCATTTTGCTACGGCTGGCCATGCTTTCCACCTGGCTACCACTACCCCCGGCCACCAACTCTGCACCCTCCGCTGCAACTTGCCCATGCCCCCCCCCGCTTCTCCTTCACACAAATTCAGACAGCTGATGTTCTGAAAGAGCTGCAAAATCTGGACCCCTACAAATCAGCTGGGCTAGACAATCTGGACCCTTTCTTTCTAAAACTAGACGCCGAAATTGTCGCAACCCCTATTACTAGCCTGTTCAACCTCTCTTTCGTAACGTCTGAGATCCCCAGAGATTGGAAAGCTGCTGCGGTCATCCCCCTCTTCAAAGGGGGTGACACTCTAGATCCAAACTGTTACAGACCTATATCCATCCTGCCCTGCCTTTCGAAAGTATTTGAAAGCCAAGTTAACAAACAGATCACCAACCATTTCGAATCCCACCGTACCTTCTCCGCTATGCAATCCGGTTTCCGAGCTGGTCATGGGTGCACTTCAGCCACGCTCAAGGTCCTAAACGATATTATAACCGCAATCGATAATAGACAGTACTGTGCAGCCGTCTTCATCGACCTGGCCAAGGCTTTCGACTCTGTCAACCACCGCATTCTTATTGGCAGACTAAATAGCCTTGGTTTCTCAAATGACTGCCTCGCCTGGTTCACCAACTACTTCTCAGATAGAGTTAAATGTGTGAAATCGGAGGGCCTGTTGTATGGACCTATGGCAGTCTCTATGGGGGTGCCACAGGGTTCAATTCTTGGGCCGACTCTTTTCTCCGTGTATATCAATGATGTCGCTCTTGCTGCTGGTGACTCTCAGATCCACCTCTACGCAGACGACACCATTTTGTATACATCTGGCCCTTCATTGGACACTGTGTTAACAAACCTCCAAACGAGCTTCAATGCCATACAACACTCCTTCAGTAGCCTCCAACTGCTCTTAAACACTAGTAAAACTAAATGCATGCTCTTCAATCGAACGCTGCTGGCACCCGCCCACCTGACTAGAATCACCACTCTCGACGGGTCTGACCTAGAGTATGTGGACAACTACAAATACCTAGGTGTCTAGTTAGACTGTAAACTCTCCTTCCAGACTCACATTAAGAATCTCCAATCCAAAGTTAAATCTAGAATCGGCTTCCTATTTCGCAACAAAGCCTCCTTCACTCATGCTGCCAAACATGCCCTCGTAAAACTGACTATCCTACCGATCCTTGACTTCGGCGATGTCATTTACAAAATAGCCTCCAACACTCTACTCAGCAAATTGGATGTAGTCTATCACAGTGCCATCCGTTTTGTCTCCAAAGCCCCATACACTACCCACCATTGTGACCTGTACGCTCTTATTGGCTGGTCCTCACTACGTCGTCGTCGAACCCACTGGCTCCAGGCCATCTATAAATCACTGCTAGGCAAATCCCTGCCTTATCTTAGCTCATTGGTCACCATAGCAGCACCCACCCGTAGTCTGCGCTCCAGCAGGCATATCTCACTGGTCATTCCCAAAGCCAACACCTCCTTTGGCCGCCATTCCTTCCAGTTCTCTGCTGCCAATGACTGGAACGAATTGCAAAAATCTCTGAAGCTGGACACTCTTATCTCCCTCACTAACTTTAAGCATCAGTTGTCAGAGCACCTCACCGATCACTGCACATGTACACAGCCCATCTGAAATTAGCCCACCCAACTACCTCATCCCTATATTGTTATTTATTTTGCTCTTTTGCACCCCAGTATCTCTATTTGCACATAATCTCTTGCACATCTAGCATTCCAGTGTTGATAATACTAATTGTAATTATTTTGCACTATAGCCTACTTATTGCCTTACCTCCATAACTTGCTACATTTGCACACACTGTATATATATTTTCTGTTGTATTTTATGACCTTATGTTATTTTTACCCCATATGTAACTCTGTGTTAATGTTTTTATCGCACTGCTTTGCTTTATCTTGGCCAGGTCGCAGTTGTAAATGAGATCTTGTTCTCAACTGGCTTACCTGGTTAAATAAAGGTGAAATAAAAAAATAAAAATTGGTGAGGAATTGTGTGTGTGTGTGTGTGTGTGTGTATCTGTGTGTGTGTAGACATCACTGTATATGTCAGTATTCTGATGACTAGATCTTGGTAAGTCAGACAGTTCAGACTGCATACTGTATGTTCAGAAAAGACAACTTATGATGTGGTCATGTTGTGATAAATGCTGATCAACATTATTTTACATTCTAAGGTGTGTGATAATATTTATTTTATGTGGTGTGTCTGTACAGAGAGACCTGTGGCTGTTCTGACCCTCCAACCCAACTGGCCTCAGATATTCAGTGGAGAGACTGTCACTCTCAGATGTAACATATAGGGAGGAGAAGAGATTGAGTATGCTTTTTATAGCAATGGGAAGTCGTTCTACTCGAAAACAGAACCTGAATACAGAATCAGTCCTGCAAAGAAATAAATAAATTAGTCATTTAGCAGACGCTCTTATCCAGAGCGACTTACAGGAGCAATTAGGGTTAAGTGCCTTGCTCAAGGGCACATCAACAGATTTTTCACCTAGTCGGCTCTGGGATTAGAACCAGCGACCTTTCGGTTACTGGCACAACGCTCTTAACCACTAAGCTACCTGCCACCCCAAAGAATGGTCTATATACCTGTGAAGGTTTTCAGAAAATCAATGGCTTAAAACACTCCGAGACAAGTAATGCTATACAATTGACCGTGTTAGGTAAGTCTGTTTTTATGGGATTGCAAGAGAAAGAGACAGAATAGTGAGGAAAAGACAAAAGGGATGAGGTCAAATAGCAGACAGTGAGATCAATGATGGAACTAAACTATAGTTTGATTTTGGGGTAAGGTACAATACCATGATAACAAAATGGGTAAACATTTTATACTAAAATGATTTAATTAATGAACAAACATTTTAATTGTGTCATATCCTTTATAACAGATAAACCCCAAGCTGTCCTGAGTGTCTCTCCTCAGTGGCTGAACCGTGGAGACTCCGTTACTCTGAGCTGTGGGGTTAAAGAGTCATCTACAGGCTGGAGGTTCTTCTGGTACCGAACTGTTCCCTACAGAGCTGGGTTACCCTCCCTATTGGACAGATCCTACTCTGTAGAGCCTCTATCTGGCAATGGGACTACTGAAGACTCCTACACTCTGATCCCTGCTGGACCTAATCACACAGGAGGATATGTGTGTAGAGCTGGGAGAGGAGACCCAGTCTATGACACACTCTACAGTGAACCTCAGTTTCTCTGGTCAGGAGGTAACTAACTGCATTGAAACTGCATTGAATCATATTGAAGTCACCCTCATGTGTATGTACAGTATAACTAGGTTTGAGTCTGTCTCTCTTTGTTTTAGACCCACATCCTTCAGTGTCTCTCAGAATAAGACCGACCAGAACTCAGCATTTTACATCAAAGTCTCTCTCAGTAAGCTGTGAGGAGAAGGGGAACTCTACTGGATGGAGACTGAAGAGATACAGAGAAAGAGGAGTGGAGTCAGGGTGTGGCTCTAACTGGGGATCAATAGTAGGGTCCACATGTACTATCACCTACACATACACAGGTGTCAGTGGAGTGTACTGGTGTGAGTCTGCATCAGGAGAGTACAGTAATGCTGTCAACATCACAGTGGCTGGTACGTCTATTGTATAACATTCACTAACCTTTTTTACATTTCAATGTTCAATTCTGAAACTGAATGAATGTATCTCATATAAAATGCAAGCTCATAAGACGTTATATATATATTGTGAGTGATTACTCCAGATTTACAGTTTTATTTATATATTATGTTACACAGCTGGTGCTGTGATCCTGGAGAGCCCTGCCTATCCCATGACTGAGGGAGACTATGTGACTCTGCTCTGTACAAATAGAAATCAGGAAACAAACCCAAACCCCAAGGTTGATTTCTACAAAGATGGAGAACTCATCAAGAATGAGACCACAGGAGAGATGACCATCCCTGTAGTATCCAAGTCAGATGAAGGCTTCTATAAGTGTAAATCTAATGAAGGAGAATCACCAGAGAGCTGGGTGACAGTGAGAGGTGAGAAGAGCAGTGTGTGTGTGTGTGTGTGTGTGTGTGTGTGTGTGTGTGTGTGTGTGTGTGTGTGTGTGTGTGTGTGTGTGTGTGTGTGTGTGTGTGTGTGTGTGTGTGTGTGTGTGTGTGTGTGTGTGTGTGTTTGTGTGTGTGTGTGTGTTGATGGTAAAACATATGTTTTGATAGTCCCTCCAGGTTCGGTTGTCTCCATCTGTCTGCTGTCCAGGCTGCTGTGTGGTCTACTGGTAGTGTCTCCCTTTCTACTGGTGTCTATCATTCTGATGGTGAAATGCTGCAGGGCTCAAGGTGACCACTTTATTTCAGTGTGTATCTACAAGAAGCTTATCCAGCTTGATATTTTCCTTCTTTATGTCATGCTCTTGTATTACTGTTATTAAGTAATGTTGACTCAAATTGTTCATTTCAAATGTAAATAGACAAAGTGCCCAGTGGCAGCTATTTCTGTTAAATGTCTTCTACGGAAATGTTCTTCCCCCAGAAAAGGCAAACTAACATTTTCATTACTTCTGAAGGATTACATTTTAGTGCTGTGCAGTTGAACGAGCAGTTGAATCAGTTTAACTCTAATGCTACTCTCCGTCCGTTATATTCCTATAGGCATGTGTTCAACAACCAAATCTCCTCAAGATGAGTTACGATCTGATGATATCATCGAACAGGCCGAATCATCCGTGTGATCATTACAGTATGAACTGTAAGCTGAATGACCATTTTTATGATTTTAAAGTTTTTGCCATTGCCTTGCCATTGATTTATGATAGTGTTTACTGAGTCAAATATCATTGAATGAAATTTTACAAATACTAAATGCTATGATTTAGCAAGTTGACGTTTTCAGCTTTTGGGATCTTGTATGCTTTGTTATTGTTGATTGTTGTTAATATTTTTGAAATATTACACTTACCCCTCTTTGATTTCAGTTTGTTGATTGAAAAAGAGTGCAGTGCCTGTTTTGTTTAAAAGTAGAATTTGTTGTATTTTTTTAATATGTTGTATTTTAGATAATGTCATGCTTTTTACATGCAGGTGCATATCTGTTTTATGTGAATATTTTCTGGGACTAAAGGTGGGTTTATACTTGGTTGGCCGACCTACTATAACAACTTTAACAGTTATGTTGGAACATGTATAGTTTGTTTTTAACTCAATTACTGCTTATTTTCATTTACATTTTCCATACTTTCCACTTCTATGTCTATATGTTTTTTATAAAATGTTATTTCTTCAGTAGTCGTTATAGGAGCCAGATGAGTGTTCCACTATTGAACTTGAATAAAGAGGGTGTGCATTGTCCTACATTAGATAGCATGATGATTCCGCCTGACGAGAGTCGCATAGGAGTGACGCCACCTGACGTTAGACAATGGAGGTTGTGTTGCATTTTGTGTTTTGTATTAATTCTCATTTGTCAAATAAAAAGTGATGATTCCCCACATCATTGTATTGCTTTGAAATATAATTTAATTTAAGGACATATTCCTTTTACTCTCTGTATTGCTGAGTTGAAACAATGCATTTACATCTTGAACATTCGTATACATTTCTTATTATGTAAAGCAACACTTTTTAACAAAATCTCTATACACCATATTGCTGTCAGTCTTCTTAAACCACATTCAGATTTGACTTCTACTGATATGAACCCATACAGAAGTGGTCCATGTCTGTACTAATATGATGACATAGAGAGAGGAAGGAATAAGAGGGCAGACCGAGTAGACTGAGGGGTTATGTTGTTGCTATGTGACCAATGACCATATTAGTTTCTATATTGTGGTCCACAAGGATGTGGAGTAGTTACAGGCCTGTCCTGAAGGGGGCGATAAGAAACCCCAGATGTTTACATTAGTATACACACTAAAGGTGAAGTCTCTAACTGCTTTCACCTGTAACCTTTCTCTCCACATGTTTGTTTCTTCACACATGTTGTACATGTCCCATACTCTACACTCTACAACATATTTTTAGAGGTAAATAGTTGACAAAAATGGATTCATGTATTCAACATGTAATGATGTGAAGCAAAATGAAACTATTCACTTTAACCTGGAAATCCAGTTACAGCTTTGAAACTCTTTCCATCTCTGGTCTGTGGTAATAAATTCTGCTTAGCTCTGCCTCTGATGAACACACACACACACACACAAACCACACAACACACAGACACAAAACACACACAGACAAAAAAAACACGATACAGTACATGAACAATAACCCTCAGGCACTTCACATAAACAGACAAATTGAAATACAACCATAAACAACACAATAACAAACATATCTATGTAGACAGTATCTAACTAAACGAATTCCTCATAATTGAGGGGGTGGCAAAAGATGTCCATTTCCATTGTGGAACAACTGAGGTTAGCTGGCTAGGCTTGCCACCTGACAGCTGAGCAAAGGTTTGAGGGGAGGCCTACACTATCTATCTATCTATCTATCTATCTATCTATCTATCTATCTATCTATCTATCTATCTATCTATCTATCTATCTATCTATCTATCTATCTATCTATCTATCTATCTATCTATCTGTGCATGGTGCAGCATAAAACAAACATCTACACATTCTGATATAAAACCACAAGCTCTGATCTCATCAATTCAGGTCTCTAAGGAGCGAGTGTGAGACCATGTAGCCAACCATAAGGAGAAGTTGGTCAGAATATAAACACGCTATCAACTGCTACTATTTTTTCTCACAGTCTTTTGACATTTCTCTTGAATCTTTCTCTCTCTGTTTTTCTGTGTGACGGTGAAGAGGTGTGATCTAAGCAGACTGTAGAGTGGTTTGTCAGAAGGACTGTAGTTGTATAGAAAGTCACTTGTCTGTGGGGACAGAATGGAGCACACCTTGCTCTGTTTGCTACTATGTACAGCGCATTCAGAAAGTATTCAAACCCCTTTACTTTTTCACATTTTGTTACGTTACAGCCTTATTCTAAAATTGATTATATTGTTGTTTTTTCCTCATCAATACCCCATAATGACAAAGCAAAAACAGGTTTAGACACATAAAAAACTGAAATATCACATTTACATAAGTATTCAGACCCTTTACTCAGTACTTTGCTGAATCACCTTTGGCAAGCGATTACAGCCTTGAGTCTTCTTGGGTAAGACGCTACAAGCTTGGCACACCTGTATTTGGGGAGTTTCTACCATTTTTCTCTGCGGATCTTCTCTAGCTCTGTCAGCTTGGATGGGGAGCGTCGCTGCACAGCTATTTTCAAGTCTCTCCAGATAAGTTTGATCGGGTTCAAGTCCGGGCTCTGGCTGGGCCACTCAAGGACATTCAGAGACTTGTCCTGAAGCCACTCCTGCGTTGTCTTGGTTGTGTGCTTAGGGTCGTTGTCCTGTTGGAAGGTGAACCTTCGCAGGTTTTCAACAAGGATCTCTCAGTACTTTTCTCCGATCATCTTTCACTCAATCCAGACTAGTCTCCCAGTCCCTGCTGCTGAAAAAACATCCCCACAGCATGATGCTGCCACCACCATGCTTCACCGTAGGGATGTGCCACTTTTCCTCCAGACATGACACTTGGAATTCAGGCCAAAAAAGTTTCAATCTTGGTTTCATCAGACCAGAGAATCTTGTTTCTCCACGGTCTGAGAGTCTTTAGGTGCCTTTTGGCAAACTCTAAGCTGCTGGCTGTCATTTGCCTTTTACTGAGGAGAGGCTTCCGTCTGGCCACTACCATAAAGGCCCTGATTGGTGGAGTGCTGTCAGAGTGACCATTGGGTTCTTGGTCTCCTCCCTGACCAAGGCTTTTGTCCCCTGATTGCTCAGTTTGGCCGGGCGGCAAGCGCTAGGAAGAGTCTTGGTGGCTCCAAACTTATTCCATTTAAGAATGATGGAGGCCAAAGTGTTTTTGGGGACCTTCAATGCTGCAGAAATGTTTTGGTACCCTTCCACAGATCTGTGCCTCAACGCAATCCGGTCTTGGAGCTCTACGGACAATTCCTTCGACCCTCATGGCTTTGTTTTGCTCTGACATGCAGTGGTTCAACTCTGGGACCTTATATAGACAGGTGGTGTGCCTTTCCAAAATCATGTCCAATCAATTGAATTTACCACAGGTGGACTCCAATCAAGTTGTACAAACATCTCAAGGATAATCAATGGAAACAGGATGCACCTGAGCTCAATTTCGAGTCTCATAACAAAGGGTCTGAATACTTATGTAAATAAAGTATTAATGTTTATGTTTATTTTTAATACATTTGCAAAAATATCTAAACCTGTTTTCACTTTTTCATTATGGGGTATTATGTATAGATTGATGAGGATTATTATTTTTTCATCAATTTTAGAATAAATAAACTGAGTTAGTGTGTTTGTTTATGAACACTAATTACCTGATTTACTAAGCCTTTAAGAGAAAAAGGAATAAGACATTGTTTTCTGTCCCTTGTTGAGAAAACAGTGTAAAAGGAAGTTGCCGCAAGTATGGTTTAGATATGAAGTAAGAATGTGACCACCCTACATTGATGTTGTATCTCTGTGAGAACCTGAGCTTGTTTAGGCGATGCAATGCAGACATGGTTAGTGTGGTGGTGTGTATTTAACCAGGTCATCACTCAGTAACTAAAAAGTGACGCTAACTCAGTGCTTGCAAAATGTGCTGTCAATGACAATGAATACAAAATGAAATATTTGTTGTATGTGTTGTAGTATCAAGTTCTGATTATTGTAAATGGTTGAGGGTTCCTTTGCTACAGTTATAGTAAACTATGTTAAGAGATGAATGAGTGGTGTTTTGGTGTTTTTGGTCTCTGTACTCTCTCTGTGTGCCCAACATGTGAAGTCAGTGGCCATTTAAAGCTGCAGTCCGTAATTCAAACTACCACAAAAAGCTCACAATGCCACTTGTTGTAGTATACGGCTGAGGGATGGGTCTAAGGAAATTCATTCATCTACATTGTTTACAATAATTGTCATAGAATAACTGTATATTTTGGGTTATGATGGAATAAGTGTAATTTCTGTAATTCATTTAGTAGTGTAGAAATCTATGTAGAAAATGCAGATTTCACCTTTAACATAAAGTACAGGATGGATTTGGTCATCAGTAACATGAATATGGCATGTTGTTATTTATTTCAAGCTAATATTGGAGCAATGTGACTTTTTTTGTTGTAGTGCTGAGTACACACATCTACTCTGGACACTCTGAAGATGATGATGGTAGATATCTGTACACTTGATCAAGTCTTCATCTCTTAATGCTTCATCATATTTCTTTGTTTGTGATTTTTAAAGCTGCTTTTGGATAGACATATTTTGTGTTTTGAGTGTCTCAAAATAACATGTGTAAAGCAATTGTATCATGCCAGTTTTTATTTTGTGCAGGACAGGCAAAGGCTGTTCTGACCATACACCCCAAATCTTCCCAGATTTTCAGTAGAGAGTCTGTCACTCTCAGATGTAACATACAGAGAGGAGAAGTCCCTGACTGGGAATACACATGGCGCAAGGATGTCATAGACTCCCTCAGTAGGAAGCATGAATATGAGATCAGTGAGGTTAAGATTTCAGACGGTGGTGACTACTAGTGTCTGGGTACACATATTGATCAGAAGAAGCATTCTAAGTGGAGTGATGCAGTCAGACTGACGGTGACAGGTAAGTCATCTTTATCTCTCGTTCAGAACAGTGGCCTCCATTGCCCATAAACACTTGACATTGGGCCCCATTTTAAGGAGGCTATTTAGTCGTTTTAAAAAGGTCTACCATTGTTTGTTCAGATTCCTCCATTAATTCATTCTCATTTCATGTAATAATTGAAGAAATATGGTGTACGGTACTAAGATAGTACTTTTTGTCACGACTTCCGGCGATGTTGGTGCCTCTCCTTGTGCAGGAGGCTATCAGCGGTCGTCGTCACCGGCATTCTAGCTGCCACTGTTCCTTTTTCTATGTTTTTGTCTTGATTGTACACACCTGGTTCCCATCACGTTGTGGTTATTTCCCTACTTAACCCTCTGGTTCCCTCATGGTTTTGTGCGTGATTGTTCTTTGTTTGGTGTTGTATAATGCTGTGAGCTGTTTTATTTTCCTGCATGGAAATTAGATTTGTTGTTTTCCTAGTAAAGTTAATTATTTACTCAGTTCTGTGTCCTTCGCTTGACTCCGTCCTACCGCTGCACACTGACACCTGACAGAATCACGCACCACCTATGGAGTCAGCAGGTGCAGTCCTCCGGTACCGGTGGAGGAGCGCGTCCAGCAGCACGCGACTATGCTCCACAATCTGCGCACAGCAATGGATCGCGTGCTGCACACCATGGAGCGATGGGAGAGAGAGGGTTTTTCCACACCCCCATCAACTTCACCTCAACCCCCACCGCAGTCCACCCCTCCGTCACCTGGAACCAGTGGGATTCGGCTCTCGCTCCCGAAGGCCTATGATGGGACGGCTGCCGGGTGCCAGGGGTTCCTGCTCCAGGTGGAGCTCTACCTGGTGACCATCCACCCGGCTCCCTCGGGATATGAGAGCGTGTCCGCCCTCATCTCCTGTTTGTCGGGGAAAGCGCTGGAATGGGCCAATGCCAAATGGGGAGAGATAGACGCTACGTTGGTCCGTTACGAGGATTTCACCCGACGCTTCCGGGCGGTTTTCGATCATCCGCCTGAGGGGAGAGCGGCGGGGGAACGCTTGGTCCATCTCAGACAGGGGAAGAGGAGCGCACAGGACTTCGCACTGGACTTCAGGACCTTGGCTGCCAGCGCGGGATGGAATGAGAGGGCCCTGATCGACCATTACCGGTGTAATCTACGGGAGGACATCCGTCGGGAGCTGGCCTGCAGGGACACCATCCTTAACCTCGACCAGCTGGTGGATTAATCCATCTGGCTGGATAACCTGTTGACCACCCGCGAACGCTCAGATTGGGTTCCGTCCGTTACATCCCCCAGCACTTCCGAATACCTATGGAGCTTGGAAGTGCTGCTCTTAGGGTGACCGGAGGGGGGGGCCTTTCCTTCACCACCTGTGGCCACAGAGGGCACACTGCTGGTCGGTGCTGGGGAGGTTCCGCAGGGAGTCGAGGCAGCAGGCAGGGCACTGGTGGATCATCCCAGGTGAGTAGGCACCCGACTCACCCAGAGCTCCCTGTTGCGCCATATGTATGTCTGTGTAAAGTTTCCTGAGTTTTCCCCGCATTCCAAGCATAAGGCGCTAGTAGATTCAGGCGCAGCTGGAACTTTATTGACCGTGCATTTGCACTTAGATTAGGATTCCCTATTGTTCCTGTTGATGTGCCCTTCCCTGTACATGCCTTAGATAGTCGTCCTTTAGGATCGACGCAGAAATTTCCCCCGAGCCCACGTGTATCCTCTGTCACAGGAGGAACGGCGGCAGGGAAAACAATGCCCTCCAAATCTCTGGGACGGGGTACATTGGCCCTTTCCACTTAAACCTCCCCTCCTAAAGTTTTTTTTTGTGAAAAAAAGGTGGAGGTTTTAACGCCCCGTGCTTGACTATGGGGGTTTTTTCAATCAAAAACGGTGAAGCCAGTTAACCCTTTGCCTCTCAAGCCATGTAAAGGAGCTTTCCCCGGGGGGCGCACTTCTTCAAAAAATTTGGATCTCGGAGCGCGACAAACCGGGGGTTGCGTACCCGGGGAAAGGGGGATGAGTGGAAGACTGCTTTTTTTGTACCACCGGGCCTAGAGTCCCCCCGTCATTTTGCCGTGGGGGTTGCGAATGCTCCACAGCCCTTTCCAACCTTTGAGACAGATCTTTCGGGGACCTGCACGGGCAGGGTGTAGTGGTGTAAAAAAATAGAGGACTTTTCCCCATATGCTCCGCAACACTTTCCGAGCTTTTGTCCCGGGTGCGAAAAGGTGTTTTGGTGACTTGGAGAAATGACCTGAACTCTTTGCTAAAAATGTCTTTCCCTTCCAACGGGCCCCGTCTTCTTCCTAGGGTACCGCCTGCCCGCTTCATGGGGGAGGGGAAAATGACTGCATTTCCCCCCCGTGCAAATTGGCCGCCCAAACCCACAGAAAAGGAATTGAAGGGGTTTTCCCTTTGGGTTTTCCCAAATACAAACGGGGGTTTTTTTCCCAGGTTTTTGGTCGGGTACGGCTCCCTTAAACCCCTTTGCTAAAGGGGGGCCCGGGTGCGACTGCAGGGGCCTGGGGCGGACGGGGGCTTTTGGTCACCTGAAGGTTTGTTTACCTCGGCTCCCGTATGACTCACCGGGGACCCCCCTTTTCCATTCATAGTAAAAAGGTTGGACCTGTCCGGGGCCCGGGGAATGAGCTGTCTGTCTCCCCTCGGGTCGCCCCCAAAGCTCCCCCCCTTGTGCTTTTTTTTTTCGAAAAGCTCCCCCGGGCCCGGGACCCGAAACAGGGTGGGGGAGGGGGAAACCCTTTTAAAGCTGTGGTCAAGGCTCTGAGGGGGGGAAGACTTTGGCTTGGGGGGGCAAACACCCTTTCCTTTTTTGGACTGACCACCACAATCGGGAGTAATCCGGCGGCGGGGAGATTGAACCCCGTCAGGCAAGGTGGGGCCCCTGTTTTTCCCCAAACCCTTTTTTTTTTTTTTTTTCAAACCCTTTTCCTACAAAAACCAAAGGGTTCCCCCGAACGCTAAGGCAGATGCCCCTTTCCCGGATGTATGCCCAGAAAGGGGCGTTTCCCCGATTCCACCCCCATACTTTTCCGGGTTCTTTTTCCCGGTGGCAAACCCGGGTAGGGAGGTTGAAAGCGGACATCACCGCTTTATGTACGGGGCCCACCCCCCCCCACCCCCCTTTTCCAGTTGGGGGGGTATGTCTTCCGTCCCGAAAGCCGCGAAACGATTGATCTGTTTTGGGTCACAAAGTCACCCTCCCGGGGCATCCTGGCAACGGCGGGGAGTGCGCTGTCCCTTTGTGGAAATACTGGTGGGCCCCCTTTTGCTAAACTTTAGGGTTTAAAAGTTTTCCCCTTCTCGGTTTTGCGTCTTTAAGGCACCTGACCCGCCCAGCGGGGAAATTTTCAAACCCTAAACCCCTTTCACAAAAGCCGCAGTAACACCTATCGGTGGGTTTTGTGATTTGGTCTTCCCCATCACAAAAGGGAACAAACCCCGATCCTGGTCGTTTTGGTCGGTTTTTCTTTAAAAAACCCCGCCCCTCTCCTTCCCCTTTCCCTACAGACTGCGGAGGGTCTGTTTACACACTTCCCTTTCCCGGGAAATACGGGTTTCAGAAGGGGTATAGTGGGCTGATCGAGTCCCCAGTTCTCTCGAGGGGCTGGAGGGGGGTTTTAGGAACCTTGGGTTCCCCGCTCAAACCGACCCAGGGTTTTTACCCCCCAAAAGGGAATGGGGAGGGGGAGAGAGGAAAAAACCCGGATGTGGGTAGGTTTTCTTTGGGGGTTTCCCATTGCCCGGCGGGGGCCGGGGGGGTGGGGGGCTTTCATCCCCCCGGGTAGAGGGTGGGGCCCCCCAAATCCCCTGCCACCCCCCTCCACTAAACCCGTCTCCGTTTTTAGTGTGTACTAGGTTTTTAAAAAACCCCAGGGGGGGGGCAAACCCTGGGATCAGACCAATCGAGGCAAACCCCGGTTTGGGGGAAAGGGTTTTCGGCGCTGGGGAACCTGGGACGCTGCCCACGTTCCCTGCAATGGACCTCAAACACAGAACCAGCACCGACCGCCACCCGCATGGGCCCCGGTGTATTCCCGGGGGAACCCTTTTTGGCTCTTCCCACCCCAAAAACCCTGCCCCTTTTGCCTACCTGCCGGGAAACTGGTCCGCTTTGTGGGGCCTTTAAAATCCTTAGGAAAAAACCCGAACGAGGTATGTTAAAAGGTTAAAAAAGCTCCCCCCCGATTACCAAATTAAACCCCCTCAGGGGGTTTGGGGGGGCTGGTCCCTTTTCCCGCAGTCTGAGGTTTTGGGGGGTTGCTCCCCCCCCGGGTGGACCTCGAGGGGGCCCCGGGGTTACTGTGGCCCACCATCAAAGGCTTTAAGAAAGTCCCGGGGGAGTGGCCTCAGTACCCCCGTGGGGGTGGGAGGGGTACGGTTTCCCGGGGGAGAATCTGGGGTCCGAAAGGAGGACATCCTGGACCCCCTTTCCTTACTTCAGGAATTTCACAGTCCACCCGGGTCTCCGTGGGCCCCTTTCCCCCGGGTTTGCCCCGGGGGCCGGGTTTCGGCCACTGCTGGGGCCGCACGTCAAAGGGGGTTTCTGTCACGACTTTCCCCCGAAGTTTGGGGCCTCTCCTTTTGCAGGGGCTATCAGGGTTGTCTCACCCGGGTTTTTAGCTGGCCCGATCTAAAGTTTCCTTCCCAAAGTTTTGGCCGGAAGTACAAAGGCCCGGGCCCCTCACGTCAAAAAAAAATTTCCCCCCCTAATTTTCCCCCCGTTCCCCTTTTTTGTCGGGAAAAAATTTTTTAAACCCGCCCAAAAAAATTGGAAATTTTTTGGGTTTCCGGGGAAAAAAAACCTTTTTTTAATAAATTCTTTCGAATAAAAAACCCCCTTTTTCAAACCCAAAAAACACACCTTACTCAATGGGAAAAAGGTACCTAATTTTTTTTACTTCTTTCCCCCAATTATTAATTTTAAAAGTTTCCAAGCAAACAATTTTAAAAAAACCCCTCCTTTTTTTTCCCAAATGTTTCCTAACACCACGACAACAAAAAAAAAAAAGGGGAAAAAACGGAAAAGGGTGTAAAAAGGGAAAAGGCCCCCCCTTCTGGGGCCTTTAACCCTTTCTTTCCCAAAAAATTTTTTAAAAAACAACAACTAAAAACCCTTTTTTTCCCGTTTTTTACCCCAACTACCAAAAGGGGAAACCCCCCCTTTTACATGGGGTAGAAGGCCCGCCTTAATTCTGACAAAGGGGTTCCCCCCAAAATGTGTTGGTCCCGGGGGAATTTCCCCAAAAATCCAGACCATTCATTTTAAAAACATCCCGTGAAACCTTCCTGTCCTTTGTATTGGGTTGGTAATTTTGTGTGTGTGGGGGACGTGTTTTAAAATATAATTTTTGGGAAACCCAAAATCCCAACCCAAAAATAAACCCCAAAAAAAATGGGAAACAACTGAGGGAAATTTTTTTGGCCACAATGGGCAAAAATCTATTTTTAAGGGGGGTTTTGAGTTTAAGGTTTTAAAATTTTTTAGGGTTAGAAAAGGGTTAGGTTAGGTTTTTTTTTTTTTTTTAGGGTAATTGGGCGGGGGAGGGGTTTTGGTTTTGTTTATCCTTCCACCTTTGTCTACCCCTCTGAAACCCTTCTTTTTTACGACTATTTCATCTCCCCCTCTCTCTCTCTCTCTCTCTCTCTCTCTCTCTCTCTCTCTCTCTCTCTCTCTCTCTCTCTCTCTCTCTCTCTCTCTCAGAGCCTATATCCAAGTTGGTGATCCAGACACACATCAAGCTATTGGCCAAACACTCCTGTTCAGTGTGGCTGGTGTGCAACGCATTCAGTTACTCCAACCTCACCTACACCTGGAAGAGAGACAATGAGATGTACATGGACGTCCAGCATATTCACTTCTCTCTCTCACCAGCAGAGGGAGACATCAGTGTAACGTGCAACGCCTCCAACATAATCAGTTGGAAAACTGCCTCAGCGACAGTAAAGTGTAGTAATGACACAACCGACCTAGGTACCTAGATATCATAATAATCCCTTCCATACACTTTTCAGTTTGCTTATACGATTATGTTGTCAAATATAATATATAATGCTTGTGATTACATTGGAAGTGTATGATATAGAGCCATTTAATCTTTATCATATGGTACAGTCTAATCATGTGTGTTGTACAATATGTGACAGGGATGGCATGGTATACCAACTACATCAGAGCATCAGTAGGAGGCGCTGTGGTGCTGATCCTCACTGTAGTTGTGGCAGTGTGCTACTGCAGGGGCCGCCGTGACACAGGTATGTACAGCTTAGGGCCCTTAACTATACTTAAAGTTACATTTCAGGTGGTTCTAGAAATATTCTTCAGATGATATTATTGATTTGTATTTGAATATTGAATTTGAATGACTGTGATTGAATGGAAGACTATGTAGTCTACTTTGATAATTGTCTATACCTTTCTTGATGCTGAAACAGTTTCTTCTTGATTATCTGTCACATCTGTAGCCGCAGACTCTGTATGACAAGATCACATTTGGCCGCCCAGAGCCCCCCACCTCTCCCTACCAGAAAATACTGTGAGCTGAACAGGATGTGGTCAAAGGCTGGGCCTTTCATAGATATAGAACACTCTGCATCCTCTGCATCTTGCATGTGTATATTCTGTAGTCAGGCCAAGATGTTACTGGTTAATTTCATCACGGCCTACACTATTTGCTTACTTTTTCATGATTGTAATCTTCTCCCTTTACAGTGTATCATAAGGCCTTATGTCTTTCTTTGAGGCCCTAGTTACAATTAGGAGATTCTGAAATGTGTAACATGCAGTAGTAGGAGTGGTGATCAAACAAGCTCATATGTCGAATTTCTATTTTCTTGATTAAAGAGAAGAGTTGTAGATAATAGTATGAAATTGATTTGTGAGAATGATTTATGCCTGTGAGTAGAAAGTATACTCTTTTGCATTAGGATTAAGTGCTTGCCAGGCATCAATGAGGTTGTAATTACAGAGTATATGCTGGAGAGCCTTGGTTGCGTGTGGATTGTTGTTGGTAGGGAGGAGGTCAGAGATCTGGCCGTGTGGTGCCAGGACAACAACCTCTCCCTCAACGTGACCAAGACAAAGGAGATGATTGTGGACTACAGGAAAAAAAAGAGGACTGAGCACGCCCCCATTCTCATCGACGGGGCTGTAGTGGAACAGGTTGAGAGCTTCAAGTTCCTTGGTGTCCACATCACCAACGAACTATCATGGTCCAAACACACCAAGACAGTCGTGAAGAGGGAACGACAAAGCCTATTCCCCCTCAGGAGACAAAAAAGATTTGGCATGGGTCCTCAGATCCTCAAAAAATTCTACAGCTGCACCATCGAGAGCATCCTGACTGGTAGCATCACCGCCTGGTATGGCAACTGCTTGGCCTCTGACCGCAAGGCACTACAGAGGGTAGTGCGTACGGCCCAGTACATCACTGGGGCAAAGCTTCCTGCCATCCAGGACCTCTATACCAGGCGGTGTCAGAGGAAGGCCCTCAAAATTGTCAAAGACTCCAGCCACCCTAGTCATAGACTGTTCTCTCTGCTACCGCACGGCAAGCGGTACCGGAGTGCCAAGTCTAGGTCCAAAAGACTTCTCAACAGCTTCTACCCCCAAGCCATAAGACTCCTGAACAGCTAATCATGGATACCCGGACTATTTGCACTGCCCCCCCACCCCATCCTTTTTACGCTGCTGCCATTCTGTTAAGTATTTATGCATAGTCACTTTAACTCTACCCACATGTACATATTACCTCAACTACCTCAACTAGCCGGTGCCCCCACACATTGACTCTGCAACGGTACCCCCCTGTATATATAGCCTCCCTACTGTCACTTTATTTTACTTCTGCTCTTTTTTTCTCAACACTTTTTTTGTTGTTGTTTTATTCTTACTTTTTTGTTTAAAATAAATGCACTGTTGGTTAAGGGCTGTAAGTAAGCATTTCACTGTAATGTCTGCACCTGTTGTATTCGGCGCATGTGACCAATAAAATTTGATTTGATTTGATTTGATTTGGTCTTATTTGATTTGACCGCATGTCCAAAATGGCATGCATGTCTGTCCCAATATCCAGATGGAATTCAGTTAATTCTAAAAAATATATATATACTGTTCACAGAATAAAAATATTATTCTACCTTTTTGCATACCCTGAGTGCTTTGTATTTAGAGTGAATTGTAGTTACCTCCCATGACTGTATTTGTTAGCCACAGAGACATGGTTGTTGTATTGAATAGTTTTCAGTACTGTAGCCTTCACCAAGTGAGTGTCTAAGTGAATATGTTATCTTTAAAATTAAACTCATTATGACAACACAATACATATATCATAAAGCCTTTGAGGGCCTAGTTAGGCCCTAACACACTGGTCTGAAACTCCTGGTTTACAATCCACATCAAGCCTGCAAGTCACATTATGCTGGCTTGGAAAGCGATGTGTAATTCCTATTGGAATCCAGCCAGAGTTAGGATATCCAACAATTTGAACTTTTAATCACACATAACCTGCATTCAGAATGACTGTTGGGGTAGGGAAGATTGATTACTGAGCCTGCCTAAATTATATAAACTGGAACAGACATATCAGTAATGTGTGAAATAAATCGAACTACTAACAGATTGGTTTAGTTTGATTGGTTGATTAATCTTATGCTACACAAACATAGATAACATACATTTTTCTAAAGTACATGCAAATACACATGTATTGAAACAAACCATTCTAAAAATTAACCTGCAAGAGAGCATGCTGGAATAATGTTAATGATAGGCATGGTTTTGAGTTGTTTTCAGCAAACAGGAATTTGTAATTTTACTCAACAAGCTTGTTCAAATACATTTTTTTACATTTATGTCATTTAGCAGACGCTCTTATCCAGAGCGCATACATTATTCTTTTTTATTTTCATACTGGCCACCCATGGGAATCGAACCCACAACCATGGCGTTGCAAACGCCATGCTCTACCAACTGAGCTCCCTCCCTTGCGGCCATTCCCTCCCCTCCCCTATTCTGGACGACGCTGGGCCAATTGTGCGCCGCCACATTGGTCTCCCGTTTGCGGCCGGCTACAGCAGAGCCTGGATTCGAACCAGGCAGGAACTCTAGTGGCACAGCTAGCACTGCGATGCAGTGCCTTAGACCACTGCGCCACTCGGGAGACTGACTTCACTGCGCCACAAATACAACTGACTTCAAGCAGAGTTTGTTTATTGAAGACACTAACACATTGGCTCAAATTCTTGTCCTTTTATGTCCACTCAACTTGCATAATAACGCTAATTAAGCAGTTGGTTAAGTTTGATTTTATCTAGAGCGCAGTGAATGAAATTAAAAGGCTGAGGAACTTTACATTAGGTCACTTGTTTGTCATAGTTGAGTGGTCATGGTTTGCTGTCTTCGTCTTTAGCAGTGTGTGTTTGTGAAGGAAGGCACTGTGTGAAGCTGTCTTTTCCCTCTGTGATCAGAGAGAGACAAATAGAGAAATGGTTGTAGTCATAAGCAAAAACCTGTGAAAACCTAGTTGTTGGGATGATAAGTACACATGAAAAGGTGTGCAGGGATTTACGTCCTTTTCAGAGAGAAGAATGACAATGTTCTTTCAGCATACATATTCTGTAGTTCACTTATTAATTTCTCTTTTACATTCAATCTATCACTGTGATCACTACTTTCTTGGGTTATTACTTTGAACAGTTGACAGACCTACCTTGTTTGTGCTGTAACTCAAGAACATCTGCATGCAGTTGACCTCCAAATAGCTACATTGTGCTTATATTTGTCCTATTTCTCACATACAGGTAATATACACATTTGTAAATTGGAAATGTTTTTTTTGGAGTCAACAGTTGAGTCATCTACTTATGAAATTACAGCCTGATGCACTCACATCGGTAAATTGATTTCATGTCATGCGGTCTGGCTTCGGTTTTTAAAGCTTAACAATGAATAACCAAAAAACTAAACCAGCAACAAAACACCATGAAAAGGAAAAACATGTAGGCCTGTTACAGCAACATTTGAGCAATAGCCTCGGCTACTCAACTACAAGACATTTTGAGTGCAGCATGCAGCAATGCTGCGTTCAACTGCACAGGTGATCCATGCAGTGCAAAAAAATGAAAAACGTTAAATGTTAAAACTTTTTGTTATTAAATACTTTTTGATTAGGGTATCAGCATATTGTGCACATCTGCAAGCATAGCAGCAAAGGCTGGACAAATATTATTGAACTCTGATTTAAAATGTTAAAATGCAATATACAGCATCCTATGTACATAACTGGACATTATAAAAGGCCATTTTTTTCTAATAAAACAATAGACAGTTGGGTTGCAGTTTTATGCACGTTGATTTGTAAAAACAAATATAATAGCCCATGAATTATTTTTGTTTTTTCAATATGGCCCTTTTGTTGATTGAGTTTGACACCCCTGATGTAAAGCAACACCTTCTAACAAAATCTCTATGCACCATAGTGCTGTCAGTCGTCTGTAAACCACATTCAGATTTGACTTCTACTGATATGAACCCATACAGAAGTGGTCCATGTCTGTACTAATATGATGACATAGAGAGAGGAAGGAATAAGAGGGCAGACCCAGTAGACTGAGGGGTTATGTTGTTGCTATGTGACCAATGACCATATTAGTTTCTATATTGTGATCCACAAGGATGTGGAGTAGTTACAGGCTGTCCTGAAGGGGGCGATAAGAAACCCCAGATGTTTACCTTGTTTCTTCACGCAGTGTCTCACTCTACACTCTACAACAAACCACTTAGATATTTTTAAAGGTAAATCGTTTAAAACAAAAATATTCATGTATTCAACATGTAATTATTTGAAGCAAAATAAAACTCTACACTTTAACCTGGAAATCCAGTTACCCAGTTACAGCTTTGAAACTCCTCCCATCTCTGGTCAGTGGTAATAAATTCTGCACAGCTCTGCCTCTGATGTACAAACACAAACAAACCACACAACATACACACACAAAAACACGATACAGTACATGAACAATAACCCCCAGGCACATCACATAAACAGACAAATTGAAATACAACCATAAACAACACAATAACAAACATATATATGTAGACAGTATCTAAGTAAACTTATTCCTCATAATTGAGGGGGAGGCAGAAGATGTCCATTTCCATTGTGGAACAACTGAGGTTAGCTGGCTAGGCTTGCCACCTGACAGCTGAGCAAAGGTTTGAGGGGAGGCCTACACTATCTATCTATCTATCTAT